TTTACATTCTTAAACACAAGGAAGTGTATGTAAACAAAGTTATTAGTCCACATACACTATTTTAATAAATAAACTGAAACCAATATAGCTCTTATCTATAATGATGCAAAAACTAGAGTGAATATAAGATATTTAAAGTGCTAACATTTTTCATATAAAACTACGATTTTTTTGTGCTTTCAAGCCTTTGACTGCTTTGTATTTAGAGGCTAAATATCAGAGTCTGTGTTGAAAGTACTAAAATGCTGAAGCCTTTTCATAACAAATGTGTTAAAAAATAATGTTTCACAAAAAGTAATTTTGGCCTCACCAGGTCTGGAAAGAACTTGTTAGAAAAACTCAAGTTACTGGCTGTTTGTTTGTTTTTTATGCAAAACTCCTTGAATAACAAATATGATACAAGCTTACTTCTACAAAAAAAAATATTAGTGAAATACCTTAATTCTGTGTATTAAGTTTACAGTTTTCCAAACTTAGTTTTTACATTAACACCAGAAAATACAAGTGAGCTTTGTTCAAAGACAGTATTATGTGGAGGTCATTACAGTGGCTACATTAAATGTGTACTGTCTTTGTTTTTATATCAATCAGGTATAGGAATCTGCAAGTCAGTAAACTGAAACAAGTTCATTTTTACAGTTCTAAAAACAACAGTAAAATATAAACTACATTTATAAACAAGAAAAATGATCTACTTCAATAGCACATTCAAGATCTACTAAGATTCACTCTCAAGTTAATCACTTATTAGACCATAAAGCATGTGAGAGTTTTCAGTTTTTAATTTACACACCTGATAAAATGAACTATTTTATAAAATTAAACTTAGTTAATCAATGAAACAAATGCACTGTACTACTTACTACTTTTGACTATACATTCTGTAACATTTGAAACACTGTTTAAATGAATAAGAACATAATAAACACCATTTTACATCACGTATATTTTTTGCAAATTAGCTTCCTTGATAAGTTTGAATTAATAAAAGTAAACTTTGAAAAAGTCTTAGAGTTTAACACTTTTATTTTATGCAAGCTACTGTTTTTTTATTCCTCACACTAAAAAAACATGTAATACTCTATAAATTTATCATGTATACTTACACTTTCCACATAAACCTTATTTACAACTGATTACATGAGGAAATTTGGTCATAAGGAAAGAAATTCTTAAATTTTGTCTATATTTGACATTTTCCCAGCAAACATTTTTATGTGTACACATCTTTCAATATCTTCATTTAATTTACTGACACTGTCTTTAAAAAGGTTTATTAAACAAACAAAATTTAAAAAAACAAAATCTATTTTGAAAATACAAGAACATACCATCAATCAATTTTTGTGTTTCTTCATCATATTTTGGTTCTTGTTTTTCTGGTGGTTTTGGATCATCATCTTTACTTGGAGGGTGAGGAATTTCATCATCAAATTCCTCATCATCTAGTTCATCATCATCATCATCATCTTCAACATTTTCACGATGATCATTTTCTTCCTGGTTAAAAGATATATCTATAGATAACCTATACTGTTCATAAGACTAAGACCAAAGAAAGAAGAAGAAAAAAAAGGATTAGTTTTGGTGCTAAAAACTTAGCAAGAATGGGGGGGGGGGCACGTCTGGCAAAACATTAACCCTTAATATACCAGAAAGATGCCAAGGATATCTCCCGATTTTTTTTTCTTTTTTATAGTTAAAATACTTGAGCACATTATAGAAACGTTTCTAAAAAGTATCTAGTTTCTACATTAACAAATTAATATAACAGGATTTATTATTTCAATTATATTTTGGGTTGTGAAATTTCAATTGTTTTTTTTTTAGACTATTTCGAAAAGTCATAATAATTTGGAACAAAACAATTCTAATTTATTTTTGTATCTTGAATACAAGCTTAGTTAAATCATTTTTAAATGACTGTACTCAAGTTTCATTTTGCCCACAAGACCACCACATTAGGCTCTGTTTGCATTATGCCATATGAGCATAAATAAACTGTTTTAATGGGCAAAGAAAATCGCCCCAAAAAATGTAAACAAATATATGTAAATAAATACAACATGGATTTTAAACTAATTTAAATAAAATTGTGGGATTAACAATTTTAAAAAATGTCAGCTTGATGCCAGCAATCATAACAGTGAAAATGCATCCTTTTGTTTTTGATTCAAAACAAAGATAAAATGTACAGTTTTATATAATATAAACTTTATAGAAAAGTTTCAAAAGAATAAAAAATGACATAAAGGAGAGTAGTTAAAAATCCACAACATAAGTAAAAGATTTTTAATTGTTTCTTAAAAATATATCAAACTGAAATCTTTTTTGAAATTTCAAAGATGCAAAATCATACAAATGTCATATAAAAGTAAGATATTTTAGTTGCAGAAGCAGAAATTTTAAACCATTTCACTCAGTTGTTATTTTTCTGCAATAAAACATACCATAGAACAGGTGTCAAATCAACCCACCTGGGCCTCATACAGTTAATCAAATGTATTTATACACATTTAATACCTCTTCATTGCTATCTCCCTCCACTGGTTCCTCACGTTCAATCTGGTCCTGTTTTGTTTCATCATCTGTATAGCTTTCTGTTACTTCATCAGTTTGTTCAGGAGGTGGGCGTATAAGTGGTGGTTCTGGAGTCGTCATCTGTGCATACAAATATAATTTTATTCTTAGTCATAGAAATTTACAATGTGAGTAAATAAAAGTGAACTCAGGCAAAGACAAACATGAAACAATATATCACAAACGAAAATGTATTAAACCTTCAAGCAATGTGTTCAAGTAAAAACAGCTCATGTCTTCATATTTCATTTCTAATCACTGGAAGAAGCCAAAAAAAAAAAAAAGACTGATTTACCTACACTAACCAAACCACTGTTTCAGTAATTTGTTCACTTAAAACTTGCATTGAAGATTAATAATAAAATATGTGGCAGTAAACCAACATGTACAGAAACACAGTCCATGGGTAACCTGGTACAATCTCCAAATGATGTCATCAACAAAATGGCATGTAGACAGAAGGACCATGAAAAAATTAAACGTGGGTCACCCTAGACCTAAAAACTGGATGAAAAAAGGTGGAAGCAAGAAAATGAAGCAATGTAAAAATATGTATAATATAGTTGCAACTTAAATCAAATTTAACTGGGCATTATTACTTCAAAATCCTTGGACATTATTGGAGGAAGGAGAACCTGTACCAAGGTTACTGCAAAGCTCCTCAAGTGTAGTAATAGTACTAGGATAATCTCATTTATACTGGGTACTTGATGTTAAAAATAAATATAATTATAATCAACAAAAGTGATGCACAATAATTAATATAATAAAGTATAAATTAAAAATGGTTGCTGCCAGTCAGTTTCCTCTCCATGGTCAATGGCTTGGAATTAGGGACTGCTACCTAGACTGTGTATTGACAAATGCACTACAACTGGAGGGAAGAGAGCCTATGCTCTACTCTGGCCTGTAAATAAACCTATTAGCATTTGTAATAATACTTGGATATAAAAAAGAAAAGACCTACAACTGTATGTTTTACTCAGTTGTGTAGAAATAATACATATTTTTATTAAATCTCCATGCAACAATTAACATGACTTTTTTAATGCTGTTATTCTTTCTTGAAGCAATTTAACTGATTGAAAATACTACACTCATTATGACTTTTCTGGAGAAACAAAACAAGGTTCTAAACACAATTTGTTCATGTCCAAGTCCAAAGGAAAACCTACTATACAATTTATCTAATACATTCCACAAAAAAGTTTAACCCTGTACTGTCTCAAGACCTAACTGAAAACATTTTATATGAAGCAATTGGGTATTTTTGAGGGAATTTTACAATTGCTTCAGTATGTTTAGCATTTTAAAAGAGGTTAGGAAAGAAGCTATGACAATTTTCTAAGTGTTTGAATGAACATACACATGAAGAAATGGTGAAGTAAACATGCCTGTATTATGAAATAAAGTCAAGAGCTAGAAAGTACAACTAGCTGATTAAATGGTATTGAGAATCACAAATTAAGTTATAAAAATGAAACAATTGCCTAGCAACGAAGTAGATGCACTAGCACCAGTGATTGGCAATGGTTAATTATTGACGCCAACTCGTTAGTACTTTGGAAGCTACGAAAAAGTCGATGTTAACATGCAAAAGCAGTACTTTGATAATATATTCCTTACACAACACTGGTGTACTAGCACAAGTGTTTGTATGTTTGTTTGTTACGGATTTCGCGCAAAGCTACACGTGGGCTATCCACTAGCCATCCCTAATTTAGCAGTGTAAGACTAGAGGGAAGGCAGCTAGTCATCACCACCCACTGCCAACTCTTGGGCTACTCTTTTACCAATGAATAGTGGGATTGACCGTCACATTATAATGGCACCATAGCTGAAAGGGCAAGCATGTTTGGTGTAAGGGGGATTCAAACCCGCGACCCACAGATTGCAAGTCGAGCACCTTAACCACCTGGCCATACCGAGCCAGCACAAGTGAGAAGGCAACTGACTAACTCACCATAACAATAACCAATCACTTGATAGTTTTGGTTATGGTTTTTGGACTAGCCTGAGAAGTTGCACAGATCGACCAATGAAGTGTTAGAATTACTTGCGGGTAGTTAGGAATACTACTTGGGAGGTCGACAGAATACAAAGAAAGTATGGATTAAAAACTCGTGTCTGGAGCCGAAAAATCAGTTGTGTTTGAGCTCCTTAGAGTTATCCTCAGGAAGAATCAGCATTTTCCAGTTTCCAACCTCTATGAATCTGAAGGTCTCCAGAAGTATACTGGCCCAGCTCTGTTGTAAGTATAGAATTATTATCTCTCTTGATCAATTAATGTAGTTAATAGTAAAGGATATTCATATTACATTAGAGAAATGTGCTCTATATGTACTGGTGCTGATTAAAAGTAACAGTAAAAGTTATAACAACTAGTAAATTGTATACTATGTAGAAAAATTTAATAAATGTTGTTATATTTTGTTCAATGTTAGTCTTGGAATCTGTTTCTTTATTCCAACTATAAAGTAGCTCGAGCTAGTGACTTGTGAGCTCCACTCGCCACTGCAAATCCTCAACTAAATAAATTTGGTGTAATTGGCAGTATAATTGAAACTCCAACAATTTGCCCTAAGGGCGCTGCCCATTACATATACATAAATCGTCTGTTGAATTTTAACCATCAAACTCATACATATAGAATATGCTTTCTTGATATAACCTCCCATATCATTAAAAGGTTAAAATTCAAGGAACTTGTGCATATATATTTAAAATATCAAAATCCACAAACAAACAACGTTTTATAATATATAATTAAAATCTTTATTTAAACCAATCAATGGCTGTAAAAATCACTCTATATCTTTCAATGTGGTTTCATGTTATCATCTTCAGGAGTGTGAAAAACAATTTCTATGTGCTATATAAGTACAAAAGCCATGGTCATGTAACATTAGTTTATAATTCTAAAAAGAAGATCACGCCATCTACATACTTTCTGATTTTCTAACCCTTCAACCTTATTTAATATTAAGTTGTTTTTGCTGTGTTTCATTATCTCGGTGGATTCTCTAATATTTCTAGCAGTCATATTATTTGGTTGAGCCAAAATAACAGGTTCAGCTAATTCAGATTTTTCACTTTTGTATTTAACATTTCTATTATGTTCATTTATTCTGAATCTTAAGTTTCTTCTAGTTTGACCAATGTATGCACGACCACATTCACATTGAAATATATATATATATATACCTGTTTTCTCCATTAGATTTATTTCATCTTCAGTTTTATTTAATATTTTATTCAATGGTGTGTAAATGGCAATAAGATTTTTTGTTTTTTAAATTTATGAAAAATTTGACATGATAAACCTGGGATATATAGTAAAATCAACATTTATTTTTTATCTATTTTCTCAAATATTGATTTTATTTTAATTTTTTGTTCAACATTTATCCTGTTAAATTTTCTCACTGCTCTATCAACAACATGAAGCAAGAAACTTCTATCTAATATATTTAGATTTACTATTTAATAAGTAACAGTTCATTTTTTAAATCTGCTGAATTACAAAATAGTTTTAAAGACCTGTAAACATAATAGTAAAAGATGACAATAAAAAACATTTAATTACAAGGTAATTCAATAAACCTTTTTTTTTTATTAGACTGTATCTGCATTAGGATGGCTTTGCTACAAACACTTCAATATGTAAGCATTCCCACATGAAATACAACAAATAATATCCTTACTGTAGGGTGTTAAATCAACCTTACATGCTGTTAGTCCACAAACCACAGTCATCTTTAAAAAAAAAATTCATTAACTTTTTTCACACTAAGCTTCATCAGTTAGTCAAAAGGTGGCTTCAACCTCTAAAGGTTACAATCTGAAGCTTACACAAAAACAATTCTAGTATTATGCAACTGTACACACACCAGTAAATAAAAAAAGCTTGAAAAATTTTCAAAATATAATAAATTCATACACTTAGGCTTACAAAAATAAGATATAGTCAGAAATGACTGACATAGCTGAAATATTTCTGAAATAAACTCTACTCTTTACCCACTGCAGTGTTGAACATGTAAAATTTCAAGTACATAAACTTGTATATATTTAATCAGTTATTCCCAAAAGTTGTTAAATCTTATTCAGTAATACTTGAGAATACTTCATCCAATAAAAAAATTCTGTTTGTGACTTATTTCTGGCCTAAGAAACAGTAAGATAAGTGCCTGGAAGTGTTCATACAAAAATCATCTTTATTTTCTATTTGTCAATCACAAGACACCACCAAATCAGCAAAATCATATATTAGTGAATAACTTTTAACAAAATCTTTAAATTGCATCCAAAATCCATCTGAAGTTAAACTACTTACTTTGTCCATCATATAAATAGGCTTCATAATCATCCAACCAGTACTGATAAACTCTTCTAACTCCATTTCTTCTTTCATGTGGAGGAAAAACTAAACAATATAAAATTATAAATACTCCCACAATCTGAAATACTATCTCACAGAACAAAAATGTGTTATTTTTAGATGTTACAGCTTTTACTTCAAAGAAGAATTTTTATTTCAATAAAAATTATTCCTCAAAATAAAAGCTGTAAGTTGTAAAAATACTTGTCAGCACTAAATAAACTTAAAAATATGTTATACTTTTTAACTCAAAAATTCTTAAATATTTTAAAACCAATTCATGATTACCCGCTATCATAAAAACCTATTAATACAACTCAATTAGTATTTTATCATTTTTTATTTCACTAGATGAATTTTTAATGACTTATACCAACATTTAGAAAGTTAAAAGGGTATTAATTCTTGAAACACATTAACATTTAAGGGTACTTCAACATAGCCTTACTACTTAACCTTATCTTGTTTCTAATAGCATAAACAGCCACACACAACAGATTTTGCCTAATATCTGCCACGTTAAACACTTATGATAAAATGCATTTTAATGCAAAACCAAAAAAAATTTTCATGTATGAAAAAATAAGTAACATACTGAGACACTTATATCTAACCTAAAGTAAGACAAACAAAATGCAGTTTGGAAGCAAAGGACAGGTTGTAGGCATTTTCGTGGAACTTGTCATTAGATCCCATAAATTTTGAAAGTTTGTAGAAATTCTAAATACCTACATTTTTATTTCAAATTTACAACATTGGATATTACAGGTAATGATTTTTCCATTTAAAATTAGGGAGGGATAACTTAATTATTATATTCTTGAAAAAAAAAGTTCATTGAAAGTGTATTGAAAAAAAAAAAGATGAGGGAATTTTGCCCACTCTTCAAATTTCTTTATTCACATATATTGTATTCATCTTATCCCACAAGTATTGAAAACCACAAAAATGTCAAAAAATTGCTTTCAATCTTGCTCATAATTTACCCATAAGTGTCAGATTTTATATACTGTGTTACTGTGATTTTCATGTTGCACTTAAAATCATCATTACCCAATTCATTGAAAGTTCCTTCAATAATTGAACACCTTATGACTATGTTTCTTGTGTCATGCGAGTCCAAGAAAAACACTATTCCTGTTTTATTTAATAAAGCACCCCACTATTTTGTGCCTATACAACACAAACAATATTAGATTAGTAGAGGAGAGTCACTTTGATTGTGATACTGAACACATTGAAATATAGTGAGACTGAATCTTTGCAGAGTTTATCCTTTGATCTCCATATCATTGTATTTACTCATATTAATATGTGTGCGTATGTGATTCAACCTGCTTCACTTGGTATCCACTCATTATCAGTGGCTTTAAGAATTCTTCAGATGAGTGTGGAAAGTCTAAAGCCACATCACCTACTTCAATACTTTTTCATGCTGACCCTTTTCATGCTATAAAGCTTCAGACTATAATCTGTTGGAGTGTTTGACTACTTTGAACATGCAATATTCAACAACAGAATAAACTTTTACTGCTTGGAGATGGCTTGAATGGGTAATGAAGCAATACTTTAATATAAGTTTAACATAACAGCAAATGTACAATGTTTCGACAAGGTTTTGTCATCATCAGGTACAAGTAATTTACACTGGCACAGATATATATACAGTATGGAACAAAGATGTCACATGACCAGATACTGTTGCATGACTTAGAAGAGAT